TAACTTAATGCCATCTATGAAAATCGGGCACGAACTTATGCAATCATCCAATATATATATATATAGAGAGAGAGAGAGAGAGAGAGAGAGAGACATTTATTAAATAAACCAAACTCACAATCAGTTTTATATCAATCACAACGACTATAAATAATACGTAAAACATTTTCATTTGTAAATGTAAAAGGAACATAGGCAAGACTAGTGTTTTCTCCCGATATTATCGGCGACTCTCGATAAATTTAAATGTTATGCCGCTCATGACAGTCGGTATCGTGCGCATTTGCATTGAAGAAATGCGGGACACGGATAATCTGTGTATGTAAATCCTACGCGGCCGCGAACAAAATGTTGGCCAACAACGGATGCGACGAGCGTTGATTTGAGATCGAACGGGCACGGCGTATAATCGACAGCGATGATTTCATTTTTCTCACATTTGTCACATTACTTTCGTTCCTCGCGGGGATCCTGAATATACGTATAATCATATCTCGCATTGTCCTCCGATTACTTTCAAGACGATCACAACAATCGTATCCACCTGCCGATCCATGGGCTCGCGTCAGTCCGCCATCGGTGTCTTCATCTCTTGCGTGTGTAACGCAACTGCAAAACGGACAAATCAGAAACAATGCACCATAAGATACCCATTCATACATCTCATTTCGTCACGTATATTGGGAGCGTTACATAATAGCTGTTACATACCGGTATACTTTACGAGAATATCAAGTAAATCTTGTTCAAATGCTTTCTCTCAGCCTTAAGAATTTATCTCTTTTTGCATTATAGATAATATAAATATTTTTTAATTGAAAAAGGATAATGATTTTGTATCAACGTTAATCGTTATGAATATTGCAAAGCAATAGTTTTGTAAATAATATAGTAGAAATCGTAAATAGTTTCACGTCCAGATTTATTATATCTAGAAAACCTATAAATTGAAAATTAAATAATAAACACATTCATGGATTGTTTAAAAGTAATAATTGTCTCATCGCCAGTTATGCATTAATCGATAAATTCGACGCGATTATATAGCAATCTTTTCATCTTTTTCATCTTGTCTCTTTCTCTTCGATCGAGATTCTCTTTTATTATCGCGGTCTCTCATTTTTCCTACAATGCAGCGCGCTTTAACGTCAAAGTATCAACGTATAATTGCGTTCGCCTAAGGTATGAGAGTATGACCACTCCCAGAACAGAATAAACGCTTCCATACGTATAGTGCAACCACGTGTACATAATCGCGCTCGCAAAGTCATAATATTTCCCCCAGGTTGAGAAGCGCAATCTGCGCGAGAATCCGCAATTCGACTCGATGCACACGCGATTCGATTCAGCCAGCGAATTAAATGCACTTGTAAAACAAAGTCGCAGCGCGGGAGTTGATGCGATGCATACGTAATGCGCGACACAATGTGCCAAGCCGAGTGATACCCGTGGAAAGCGGCTATTCATCATTTTCCACAGATGATTATCGTTCGATCACAATTGGTTGAAAAGCGAATCGTTAGTTACCTACCTACCCGGTTTGTCCTGTCGATGCCGTTCCAACAGGGGTAAATGTCAACTTATATCATCGCGATTGAATTATTTGGACCAAAGTACATTTACCATTTACATTTGATATTGACTAGTATCGATATTCAACCAGACGTTAATTGGTCGATAAATTTTGAGTAAAGGTCCGAATCGCTTATAAACTTTTGTCACCTTTATAGCAATAATAAATCCTGTTTAATATTACGATTTCTTTTTAAATATTATATTAAAAATTTTCATAATTTGTTCAATCACCACGACATGCACATTGACAGACATTTTTTAATTGTTTAGCAATATTAATTTAATTCATAGATAAACTTTAAATAATTATGTAATTATAATTATGGTTTATTATTATACCATAGTATATTTTTCGTTATAATACGATTTACTTTTGTGCAGATACACAGACACGCGTATATTAATTTTTTTATCCATAAATCAGACAAAACAATAGATGAAATTAATAATTATTATGCTTACTTTGTTGTGTATCGTGCGCATATACAAGGTACGTGTATAATTCTAGCGTTCACCGACTTTACGCAATACGTAATATCGCTAAGCAGGAA